TATTAAACTACTGTATTAACAAACATCTTGTTTCAAAATGTGGCCATTTCATAAAAGAATATCTGGCTATAGACAGATCCTTAAATTTTAGAGAAAATGTACTGTGAACAAAATAGTACCGGAGCCCCAGAACTCACAAGCATGTGAGAACTGTAAAATAATCTGATCGATTGATCTGAGGTTTCCTCTTTATTTCAAACCTTCCACCCCCAAGTCACAAATCTTTTACTGGTGTATTTTAGGGATGTTAAATGTAATCCACTAGACATGTACAATTGTTTTCTCATGTGAAAAGAAGTTATTCACTGATAGAGTTTTAGGGAGAAGCATATTAATTTTATGTTTCAGATATTTTTTTAAACAGGAAACAAATTAAATCTCCACCCCCTCCCACCACCCCAAAAAACCTGTGTGCAAGAAAACTGACTTTACCTCAATTGCTCTCAGAGCCATAGAAAACATACAGTATGAACAGGAATCAGATATTTTCCTCCATTAGAATTAGTTTTCGGAGATCCTTCAGTTCTAGGCATAATTAGGCATATTCTCCATCCTTATGGTCATAAAATGCACTGATGAAAATACTTGTGGTTAAAGACTGGCCCAGTTCCATGCTGAAGTTCAGGTTTTAATGATCAAAATGCTGCTTTCCTTGATGGCCCACTTAGAATTTTTGACCCGTCTTACAAACAATTTTAGGACAGAATACCTTAATGCAACCCCTTCGCTAACATAGCAGCAAAATATTCCTGAGAATCAGCAGCAGTGGGATGGCTGGGAGGATGCCTCATTGCTATAAACATCATCTGGTTTTTGACTATGAAAACAGAGCATTTCCTTTTTATTGATGAAACTAACTTTCAAGGCTATTCTGCACAGCCATCAACTTTAGTTATATTAGCGTATATCAGACTAAACTGGTGGGTTCACAAACTGTATTCATCCTGGTAGAAAAAAATGTCTTCAATTAGAAACCATCTCTGTTATACATTTTATTACAGTGAGTTCCCATGGCAAACTAGTTGAAAGTGAAACCTAACTGTGATGTTTCATGTCTAAATGTAATTGATTTTTGCCCTATGGTATGAAAATAATATTCTCAACAGATCGGCCAAATCTTTCTTCTTTTACTTGAGTGGGAACATTTGTTTTGCTTAATGATTGGGCCCCATATTTAAACATTCTGACAGGTGGCTGAGAAACTAATTTCTGGTCTTGCTTTAGCACAGCTTAGAAATGTAATACAGCAAAAATCTGGAAAGGATAAGTTATGATGCACTTTAGAACGTTACCTTCACAATATCTGTGTCTTTTAAGATCTTCATAACAAAATATACTTAACTTGATAGTTTTACAAAATTTACATTCTTTTAATAACAAATTAAAAAACAAATAAAAGCCAAGCCCATTTCACAAATACTTAATCAATTTAGTTAGATCCCCCATATCAGCAACTGTTTCTATATTATAAGCAGGACTTGCAAAAATCTGTTCTAGTGAACTTTTCTTCAATCTCACATAGCTTTTTTATATTAGAGAGTATATAAAACCATACTCATATACAGTATAGTTTATCCCAAATGTTCAAAAATCATGAGCCAGGACCCCCCCAAAAAGTAAGATTGACTTAAAAATCACAAGATTTTAAAAAATAATAAATTTGTTCACTTGCTATCTAGTTTTTGAGCCTTTAGAACACACTTGGGGCACATTTCTAAGCTTTCCTCCACAACCATAAAGGGTGAAAACTGACTTTTTTAAAAGACAAGACCTGAGTCTCACATTCTGTCATGCTTCTGAGAGCTGGGGTTTAATAAAAACATCAACTATTGCGAGAGTGGCATTAAATCACAAGAGTTGGTGACATATTAGATGTAAGATTCTCAGCTGGTATAAATCATTGTAACTTCATTAAAACCATGTATCTAAAACAAGCCCCCTCCCCATTACGGATGTGCCTACATGGGAGCTGGAAGTGTACTTCCCAGCACAGACACACTAGCTCTGCTTGTGCTAGTGCAATAAAAATAGCTGTGAGGCAATAGCAGTTCAGGTTAGGCCCTTTACGTATGTACCCCGAGGGCTGGGCAGGCTTGTACCCAAGCGGTTAGCCTGAGCCACTACCTGTGCCCGCACATCCACACTGCTATTTATAGCATCCTAATTCAAGCTGAGCTAGCATGTGTCAGCCTACCCGCTGCTGTGTAGACCTACCCTGGGTCTGAGCACCTGGCGTGACAAACATAGGAGTAACATTCTCGATTTAGCTTATGACCCAGTGATTTCTGGGGCACTGAGTCTTAAGCACATGAGTAGTTTCATTTAAGCAATGTGACCATTCATGTAGCTAAAGTCAAGTATGTGCTCAAGTGCTTTGCAAAGACCGAGACTCAGTCACGGCCATCAAGGAGAGAGGACTGGAATCTCCTCTCACATGCACTGGTTTAAGTCAGTAGAAACTCCATTGAAGGCAACAAGTTTACACCAGTATAAACATAAGAAAAAGCAGGAGCATAGTCAAAATTTGGATGCAAACAAACATAAAATCAGCCAATTTTTGTTTGCTTGAATTGAAGGCTTTGAATTTTTTAAATAACTTTTTTTTTTATTTCAAAACCCCCAGACTCCACTCCCCAGCAGGAGCTTGTGGGTTGACTTAAAATGGCCCGTGGGCCATAGTTTGCCCACCCCTGTTATAGCAGGTCAGATTTATTTACCATTGTCTGATGATGTGTGTTGCAGGAGGGACTCCAAGAGACAAGAGATGGCAATCTGCATCACAGAACATGTTTTTCCATCTTCCCATCATTGAATGCAGGACTATACTGGTATCATCAGAATGTGAAGTCATCCTCTGTTTCATGAAGTTACTATTTACTAAAGCAGGTGAAAATTTAGAGCCGTGAAGCATCTTCACACAAAACTATCAGATCAGACAGACTAATTTAAATGATCTCTTACTCCTACTACCATCAAAATCAATGGCAAACCCAGCTAGGTGGCATTATAATGAGTTTGCTGGCATTCCTGGTCATGGAGGCTCTGACAACTGCAAACAGCCAGATTAGCCAGAAGGACACGCATCTCCTCTTTCATGGGCAATTAAATGCGTTGAAGTTAGGGAGAAGTTAGGGCGCATTGAGACTTGACTGTAGTATTTAAGGAGCAATGGGGAATAAAGCTATGTTGGAATAAGTCCCTAAGTATCTGTCTAGTTACTGGAGTCCAGTGCACTGTTTGCATTGCTTTAGTGAAAGTGGAGTCAGCACTGTTTGCAGAGGTTTAGAATCTGCCCTTTAACTTACCCTTGGTGTAACTTAGACCTAGAAGCTCTTGGTGATTTGGGAAAAGGGAATGTGTTCAACAGTTTTCAATATGCTGTAAGAATGTGAATATAAATGTAACAGTAACTATTTCTGTCTCCAATTCTATCCCATTGTTATGTTGATTAAAAGGTAAATGTTGTGTCTATAATGGGACCAGGTCCACTAGTTTCTTTATGTTCCTTTTGAAATCACTTAATACAGGTAATTTGGGAATATTTTACAACACAATACAAATGATCAGAGTGCACACCTCAATAGTGGCACATACCACTGATTGATAAATAAATACTAAGGATTATTTACTGCCCTTTATTTGCATGTAAAATTTTTATTGCCATATGGCCCAACGAGCACCTTTAAGACCATAACAGTCTATTAAATACAACAATTGATGTTAAACTTTGACACAAACAAACGAGTGCCAGAAAATTCAGAAACTCGATATTATATGGAACAACAGAGCCCAGAGCAATGTTCTCTAGTCCTACCTTCTGGGTATACAAATATTTAATTATATCAGTTATTATTTATAGTTCTGTTTTTAGCTTTGGCAACCTTCTTCCAATACATTATGAGAATGATGCAAGATATAAAAGACAAAAAGCCATCACACATTCATCGGGGCTCCATTTAGTAAAAATCTGGCTCCATGGCTTGGCAACTTTTTTAATGCTTAATCAGGATTTTGTAATGCTTAATCAAGATGCATTTCTTTAAATAGCCTTATAAAATTGCAAGCTCTGGCTTTTTGGACCTGTCTCCTGCCAACACACATGTAAGATATATAATCAGTAGTGGTGAAATCAGGAGAACCCATTGAACCTTGTCAAAGAGACACCTGGGATTACTATAAAAGGACCAGAGAATGGATCTGAGAAGTTGAATGACAGCAATTTTGGCTGCCAAATGTCCCAAAATAGCTAAATGCAGGCTATAACTCTGAGGAAGTGAGCAGAATTTGACCCAAAGTTGAAGAAAGGTTGCCTTTGACCATAAAGAGACATACCTGCCTAACAGAGTTCAGATTTATTTTTTAAAGCAAAGATAAAGACTGTAGAGTAACCCAACTTCTTACTAGCCATAGTGAGGAAAAGGAAATCTCAACTTTGAGAATCAAATTTAGGCTCTCCAGACTTAGAGTTCTGTACTCTGGATCATTTCTCTGCAGCAGGCACTCAAAGATACAATACCAAAGTATTCGAGGAACTTGCTGAGCTTCTTTGTTCTTCATACTGGATGCTGATGCCAGACCCGAACTGTTCCATGGTAGTGGAGGCAAGGTACCGTTTCTGGTCAATAGGGCTCTTAAGTTAGACTCATTGCCTGGAGAAAAATCTCTGCCACCTACTGGAAAGCAGAAAGTATGAACTGGTGTCTACAGACCTTAAAATAAAAGTTAAAAGCTGATCTTAGATAGTAATAATTCAGCCCAACAGGAAATCATAAAAATTCCCATTACCCCTTTTGGAAACTAATGTAATGTTTTAAATGTAAATAAATTAATATTTTAATCCTATTAACTGTTGGGGTGGGTGTATATATAAATAAGCCTATAACAATTTTTAATCAGTTTAATTGGTGTTTGTAAAAACATCTGTCATCAGTGGATGACCAAGGTACTTTAAGCAAAAACAGAGAGTTTGCATTGGAAACAGAGCCTAAAACTATCATAGCTTTAACTCAAACATATTTTTTATTAAAGTATGAATGTATTTATGCTGGAGAATAGTTTACATACATTGGAAAGCAACAAGCATATTTTCAAGAGCTGTGGGTCCCCATCAACATGTCTCCATGCTCAATCTCATGCTTTAACATTGGCCATACGCACAGGCATACATATGCTCTCTCACACAATGTATATATACACACACAAAACACAGACATAGCTTTCTTTTAAGGCTTCTGTAAGGTGCCCTAGTGCCCCTACCATTACCATGATTACGAACAAGGAGCAGCATTACCTGCAAACTATTCGTCTGCTCTTGGCCTTAAAAACATTTAGTGAACCAAAGGTTTTGTTTTTATATGATTTTTTTTCTGCCTTTACAAAAGTTATGAACCTTTTTGTCCATGGACCAGGAAAAGTGCAGGATATCTTAATGTGAACTTCTCAATCATTTCAAACCTGACTCTAAAAGGACCAGTGCCTTTTCATTGTCAGAGACATTTTTGCTATTTATGGTAACACACCCCTGGCTTTTGTGACCCAGCAGTACCAGCTACATCAAATTATATACGCTAGGTTGGTAATGGAGACTACTGTGGAGTTAAGCCTACGATGTTCATATCACTTCAGACCTGAGGTGGATCATAAGTCCCAGTTCAACTGGTGAAAGACCACGGGTCTTAGCAACATGTCACTCAACTCTCAGCAGAAATAATGGAGCTGGCTCACTGTATTACCAGCCATCATGGTTTTTTTTCCCTTTTTGGTATCCTGGAAATTGTAATTAATGGTGCTTGGTGGGAGACGAGTGGCTGCAGGTACATTAAGAAAATAGACAAAATGAATAAAATAAAGGATAGCATATGATATAATGTGTAAATATAAGCATCTTTTTAAAAATCTGTGAAATGTGAATAAACTGCAGAATGTCAGGCCATGTGTCAAAAAGCCTATGAATGGCTGTTTCAGCCTAGGTAAGGTCAAATGATTTTGCAATATGACATGGAAAGGGATTTGTTTTTCTGAACCAAAGGGCTCCCTTTTCCACTTGCTGCTGCATAGCAGCATCAGATCCCAGCTATGAATCCCAGAGAATCTACTATTAAAATTGCTTGATGAGTTTCATAAGGCAAACTGGACTGAATCAACTTCAGATTGTACACCTGAACTATACCAGGCTATAAAGAGTTGATGGTGCACGGGTTGGGGAAGTGATATAGAAAAAAAAAAGAAAAAAAAAAGAAAAAGCTTTTCCTCACATTTACAACAGCAGCAGATTTCAATGTAACATAATTACTTTAATGATGCATATCTTTAGGTATTGATTTTCTCTTTTGATTTAAAAAGCTGGTCAGCCAAGTATTTGGCCGTCTTTTAATTCCAGATATCAGTTGTTGCTTATTCATCTATCAGCTCCTATTCCCTAGGCAATTTCTGCCTTTGCTGTACTATCAATGAGTTCAGTCAGCCATCATCAGATTCGAATTCATGAGACACTTCCTCAGATGAGCTATTCCTGTGGATCCGGCCATCACTCTTCATGCTGTGGAAAGTCTTCTTAAAGGCCTCCATCATGGCATGAGCCAGCTTCTTGGCCTCCAGCTTGCTCTCACACTCTACAGCATGGCAGTCCATCTGATAGGACAAGTCATCGTTGATCTCCCTGTAAACCCAAGCAAAGATGTTTGGGCTGACATTGTGGTCGGCAGTGCAGTAGGCAATACGTGCCACCTGAAAGGTATCCATGTGGACTGTGGCTTCGCCTTTGAGGTCCAGGTGATGAAGCCAGACTTGGAAGGGTCGGATTTCCAGAAGGGCATTGGCTGGGAAGACGTCCTCCCTGGCTAGTGTGTGCTTCTTCCATAATTCAATGACAGGTTTTTCTGTGCAGCCTGATAAAAATTGCATCCCTGTTGTAGACACCTTACCCAAATATGTAACCTACAAAGAAAAAGCAAAATGAGATGTGATGTCAACAATAGTCTTTGATATTCATTTCTACCATCCCGCAAATTGAGTTCTTTACCTGGAACAATGGATTTTTTTTCTACACATTCAAATGAAGTTTTCTGATTGACAGCGACAGATTTGCCTCTCAGAACAGTATTTTTAGTCATTCATGCTGGGATTTTCAAGGGAGTTAGGAGCCTCTCACTGAATTTCAGTTTATTCTGGGCATCTAATTCTCTGAAGCTTCTTGAAAATCTCTGCCTAATGCTGATACTCTCACTCATGCTAGCAGTCCCAATAAAGGCAATGGGACCGATCATGCAAGTATGGTCAATAGGATCAGGCCCACAGGCCAGATAACTGGAACATGGTGCTTACCCACAGTTTCTTTGTTCATATTATTTTTGTTAAATACATTTTAAACAGTAATTTTACTTACATCGAGATATACACAGAGTGTAATAATGCAAGAACACAATGTGGTCAGAAGAGCACAACCACAACAGATAATAACACAACTATTCTAATGCATTTTTCAGAATGATCTTGTTTATGTTTCTTCCACTGCTTCTACTTACATAATTATCCAGAAATATGTAGAAACTATGCAAAAATAACATCTTCTATTGTTAGCTAAAGGGCTGAGGCATTTACTCCTTCAATTTTATAGAAAATGTGCCATTAAAAAAACCCACAGTAATAAATCTAGCTTAGTTTAATCACACCAGCTCTCTCTGCTTCAGTGTCTAGCTCCATCGGGTAAATATTCAAAAATAAGAATCGTGTTATCCCGTCTATATAGGAAAATGATAAGCCTCGACTAAAATTTGTTTCACATGCCAAAATCTAACTCATTATACAGCCCAAATCAAAATTCTAAATATAGCATATGGGAAAGAATCAATGCACCTAAATCTTTATACTTCAAGAAACATTTCTCAATTATATTTTGAATGAAGCTTTTATTAAGTGGGAAAAGTTACATTTTAGGATGGTCAATACCATTTAAATATAATTTATACATAGTATTACCCTCGATCACTGTTGTCTGCAAGTTGCATTTAAGAACTAGTATTATAAAAATAAAAGCAAAATTACTTTGTCCGATTTTAAATGTAATGCACATAAGACTATAATAAATCAAGCAAATGGACCACTGTCCTGTCTCTGACAGTTACCAGTACTAGACACATTTGTAAATAATAATGTGCACTGTGCAATTTAATTTCTATAAATTATAGTATTATATTTTTATTTTTTTATCTAAGTTTAAAAAAAAGGAAAAAATAGATTTTCACATGTTTAAATACATTAAAGATACAGCTGCAAGGAATACTGAATTTATATTTCTTACAAAGCAAAAATCTTCAAAAATAATTCTGGGTTTTGCTGCAAGCTTTGATATACCCACTCAGAGACCTAAATTAGGCTAGGATTAAAAAATAAGGTTACAAAATAGTGTGGCTTAATCATGCCTGTCAAACAAGCAATTTCATAACAGACATTTCCGGACAAAAAGTTTTATTCTTCTCCAATAAATGTTCGTGGTTTCCATTGGGAATATTTTAAATCTTATAAAACCTTTATATTTTTGGGAACAGTGAGAATCACATCAGAACCGTTAACAAGGCAAGCCCTACTGGAGCTTTGTGTTACTTTATTTTATTGTACTAGTGAGGAGAAAGTAAAGTACCTAACAGCTCATAGCACGAACTGTACTCATATGAATAGTACATAGAAAACCAAGCAGCAGTTTGACCGCAGTGTACTATGGAGTAGTTCATCATGTATTCACAGGCATATTTCTAGTAAAATAATAACATAAAAATAGAACTCAACATGATCACAAAGTATTCAATATATTCTCTAAAAATCCATTATGTTCCATTTAAAATTCACAAATCAGTTAACAAAACACTAGCACATTGTAAAGAAGTTTCACGTTGGGGACCCAATCCAAAGCCCATTGCCGTCAAAGTGAATCTCTCTATTGACTTCAATGTGGTTTGCATCAAACTTTGAAAACACAAAAGGGAGAGTGAGTCTTCTGCTTTTACACTTTGTCCCAGCCAAACTATTGCCCCGAATTCTACTTCATAAGTGGGATCCTGACACAAATTCTCTGGCTTTGCCTTTCCAAGTTTTTGCTGGTTAGAGGACACTAATATTGCTTGCGAATGTGAAGAAATGCAAGCACTGACAGAATAAAAACACCGACTGGGGGGGGGGGTCACCTTTTTATATATATTTTGCCAAGTGTCAACTCTAAAATAAGTGAGCATGGAGTATGTTGTAAGTATTGTGCAGGCACACATTGCAAGCTGAGGAATTTGACTTATTTGTCACAGGGAGGGTGGCAGGACAAAGAGGATTGACTTTTCTCACATTCACTGAGCGCATACAAGCTATCTAGATTTTCTGTTTGTTCTGACCAACCAACCTCCCGCAACACCTTCTCCGTCACTAACCATCTGCTTTATCTCAGTATATTCAGTACCTAAATGAAAAGTCTAAAACAAAGTTTCCTAAAGGAAAATATTCCACATAAACTTGTGAGAAAGCTGAGTGTGCCTGCGTGGAAGATCTGTGAATTACTCTGAAAAATAGAAAGAAAGGGAGGACTTGTGGCACCTTAAAGACTAACAAATTTATTTGAGTATAAGCTTTTGTGAGCTACAGCTCAATGCATGATGTGAAGTGAGCTGTAGCTCACGAAAACTTATGCTCAAATAAATTTGTTAGTCTCTAAGGTGCCACAAGTCCTCCTTTTCTTTTTGCAGATACAGACTAACACGGCTGCTACTCTGAAATCTGAAAAACAGACAATGTCAACAGCAATAATGATTGAGAGGAAGGATGGGGCTTGTGGCTAAGGCACTGGAACGGGGACTTAGATGATCTGGTTTATATTCCTAGCTCGGCCACACATTAACTGTTTGACCTTTAGTAAATAATTTCATCTATCTATACTTCAAAACCCCATTTTACAGACAGGGAATAATACTCTTTCCCCATGAGGATAAACTGATTGGTATTTATGAGGTTATAAGTTACTACAGCGATGAGCACCATAGAAGAGATTATAAATAAGTAAAACTTTACCTTTTAGATTCACAGTTCTGCTATATTTATTTTTAGAAAAACACTGACCTCTAATAATGTAGTTAGACTTTTAACAAGCAACCAGATTTTTCCCATTTGGTGCGTGAGTATTACGTTAGTACAGGACATTTTATTGAAGATAAATTACAATATACCTCGTTTCCTCAGAGTCCCCTCTATTAGACATAGAGCAGAGATGCAGAAGGCTGGCAAGAGTTCTTGAATATCTGATACAAAAAAAGTCAGCATTCTTTTCAGAACATAAAAGACCTTTATAATTAAATGCCGTCTAAGTGTTATACATTAGATATTAAACCTTCTGGAGTTAGCCATTTTAGTAACCTGCCCATTAATATCTGCACAATTGCAGGTATTGAGCCAACATAAACTAAAACTGGCAGAGGATGACTTTATTATGCATTCCTCACTAGGTTCTCAGTTACAAAGATATTCCACAAGTAAGGTTACTGTACATTGGCTTCTACCACCATTTATTTCTCATTACAGACTCATGCTTTATAACATGCACCTCACTTAAATACACAAAATTGGCCCAAGCACACCATTATAGAGTACAGGTATTAGATACAACCATTTTTCTTTTTCCAACTTCTTTCAATTCACTGACCGAAGATCAAAGAACAGATCATCCCATCCAGGATGAGATGCAGAGGGGAAAAAGTTTAGGGTACAAACCATAAAACGTGGGGAGGCTTAGGACCCTCAAAAGGAATCATCTTCATTTCCCCCAAAGCCACAGATGATCCTGAAACGTGAATGTACCAGTGGCCACTCAACACAATCTGCTGCCATTGGCAAAACTTCAGTGTGCTTCCCCTTTGGGTGAAGCCATGTGCAGAGGGCAGAGTTGTGTGACACAGTGGGTGGAGCGCTATTCAGTGAGCATGGCTGTGTGGTATCGAGGCCAAGCTCTATGGTAAAGCAGGTATGGCTGTATGGTCCAGTTTGGGGCAGGGGAGCTGTGTGGTACAGTGGGTGGGGTGCTATGACATGTGAGTGGGGCTGTCTGGTAGAGTTCTGGAGACTCTGTACAGAGGAAGGACTCCATGGTATAGAGGAGGAGCTCTGTGCAGGGAGCCGTCGAAGGGCGTGTTTGCCAGTGACAGGGATAGCTCTAGGAGGGCAGCATTTGAAGCACCAGGGGAAGACAAAGCCATGAACATTAAAAAAAAATGCTTCTCCCAGAGATCTGCTGCCCTGCCTAGTTTACTGCTGCATACTTTGCCTAGAGTTAAAGCAGCTCCTGACCACTACACTGCTGTGGCTTTTTGGAGGATTTTGGATGGGGCTAAAGAGGCAGCTGGTCTATGTAGCGACATGCACAGGAAATCTGGCAGAATTTCCAGTGGTAGTACAGTAACAAACAGGCATGTCTGAGAAGTCATGTAAGAAGGAAAATATATACACATCCACCCAAAATACTCCGCTATTGTATATGTAATGTGGCCTACTGTGGTAGAAATGTTACAGGTTTGAATTTTCTGACTTTTATGTGTTCAACTCAGTATTGCATTAAAATGGCTACCAGCTTCAGCCATTTGGGATACATGGGACTGCAGACGTCATTCAGAACATATGGGGAAACTGTTTCCTTCCATATTCCCATTTCTCAGAACAGCTGAACCAATTTTTCCTTAAGCTTCCCAAGATAGATAAGCTTTGGGCTCAGATCAAGTATGGGTAATTTCCATCTCAGTTCCTTTCCCAGAAATATTTCCCTCTTTTGCATTCAGAACCCACCACTTAATTGTCAATTATGTTCTTTCATTGTTATTCTTATTGTAAATAGGTCTCTTTGCCTTTACAGCTTTCACTCAGATTTCGGTGAAAACAACACATTTTAAAGGTAATTCATTCAAAAAGGCACA